GAAGACCTGCAAGATCAATACTGTGAGTCAGTGTTAGAAATCTGAGACAAATTAAATCCAAACAGTTCTCAAGGGAATACGTTGCCATGGTTGCCATGTCTATTTGTGGGATAGTTAATTTGACTACTCAGATGGGGAAACCAGATAACGTGTCATGAGGGTGTGGTGTTATATCAACAATGCTTTACCCTGTAGGACATGAAATGAGTTGCTATAGTTCAGCTGGATAGTCAGATACACAAAGGTTTTTTCCTTCAATTCATACTATGCACTTGTGGGACTGATGCTGAGTCATTGAATATATTCGAGGCTGAGTTAAACAGGTTTTTGGTCGACAAAGGAGCCATAGAGTCATACAGCATGGAAACTGACCCTTCAGTCCAACTCGTCCATGCTGACCAGGTTTCCCAAACTATACTAGTTCCATTTGTTTGTGTTTGACCCATAACCTGCCACACCCTTTCTATTAATGTAATTTTCCAAACGTTTTTTAATATCATACCTGTACCTGTATCTTTTTCTGGCAGTTTATTCCACATACAAATCATGCTGTCTGTGAAAATATTGCCTCTCAAGTCCCTTTTAAATGTTTCTCGTCTCACCTTAAAATTATGCTGTCTACTTTTGAACTTCCTCGCCCTGGGGGAAAAAGGGCTGTGGAGGGGAGCAAGCAGGAAAGGACAATTAAAGCCACAATCAGATTAGTCATGTTTGTATTTAATGGTGGGACAGATTAGAGGGTATGATTGGCCTAACCTGTTTCTATTTTTTATGTTTTTAATAGCATTGTTATAAAAATCACAATAAAATCATTGTCGTAGAGTCATGAGACGTACAGCACAGACACAGACATTTTGGTCCAACCAGTCCATATCAAACATAATCCCAAACCACATGAGACCCACCTGCCTGCTCCTGGCCCATATCCCTCCAAACTTCCCTATTCATATATCCATCCGAATGTCTTTTAAACATTGTAAATGTATCTGCATCCACCACTTCATCAGGAAGTTCATTCCACACGTGAACCACCCTCTGTGTAAAAAAATTGCATCTTATGTCTCTTTTAAATCTCTCTACTCTCACCTTAAAAATGTGCCCCCTAGTCTTGAAGTTCCCCATCTTAGGGAAAAGACAAATACCGTCAACTCTATCTATGACTCTCATTATTTTATAAACTTCTATCAGGTCACCTCTCAACCTCCTATGGTCCAGTGAAAAAAGTCCCATCCTATCCAGCCTTTCCTTATAACTCAAACCTTCTGTACCTGGCAACACCCTGGTAAATCTCTTCTGAATGCTCTCCAGCTTAATAATATCCTTCCTGTTACTGGGTGACCAGAACTGGACACAGTATTCCAGAAGAGGCCACACCAATGTCCTGTACAACCTCAACATAACATCACAACTCCTACATTCAAAGAACTGAGCAATGAAGGTAAGCGTGCCAAGTGCCTTTTTAACCAGCCTGTCTATATGTGACGCAAATTTTAAATAATTATGTTTCTATGCCCCTAGGTCCCTCTGTTCTACAACACCACCCAAGGCCTTACCGTTAATTGTATAAGCCCTACCCTTGTTTGTTATACCAAAATGCAATACCTCACATTTATCAAAAGTGAACTCAATCTACTGTTTTTCAGCCCATTTGATCAAGATCCCTTTGTAATCTTAGAAAACTTTCTTCACTGTCTACAATGCCACCAATGAAGGAAATAGTATGTGACAAATCTATAAAATAAACTTAAAATCTTGAATAATAATTCTCAACAATTTGAATTAATTCTAGAGAAATTGGCAGGAGGTAGGAAAAGAGAAAATGGGAACGGAGGTTTTCTGTTCTGAACAGGACTCCTTTCTCTTACTACCTGTAATTGTTTGTTTATTATGTCTGCAATTTAAGCCTCAGCTGGACTTCTGATGCCATGTCCAGCCATGAACATTTACATTTCACTTAGATAGTACGGTCTTCTCCTATCCCTGACACAGGCTGTGTTCTGCTACTGAAACCTTCATTCATATTTTTGCCACCTTCAGAACCAAATATCCCAATGCTATCCTGGTTAGCCTTCCATGTTTCACATTCCTTAAACTTTAGATCATACAAAACTCAGCTGCGAATTTAATTCACACCCAAACCTGTACATTTTGGCTTCTGGTCCAGGAATGTCTTGACCTGTACTTACAACCCTCAATGGTCGTTGCCCTCCCTATATTCTCCCCCAGGCCAAAATCTTTTAAGGGGTTTGTATTCCTTCAATCCCAGCCTCTGATGCATCAACCACTTTCTACGGCTTTCATTGACAACATGCCTTTGGTCATCTAAGTACTACACCCCAGAATTACCTTCCTGACCCTCTTCACTTCATTACTCTTTTTTCAGACTTTAATGGCCAGCATTTATTGCTGATCCATAAATTACCCTCGAACAGAGTGTATTTTTGGCCATGTCAAGAGTCTAACACATTGGTCTAAGTCTGGAATCACATGTAGACCAGACTGACTAGTTTTCTTCCCTAAAGGACATTAGCAAAACAGATGGGTTTTTTTTTTACAGCAATCAATGATAGTTACCATTACAGATGCTAGTTTTCAACTAAGGTTGATATTTGAACCTATGCCCCTACAGCGTTAGCCTGGTGCTCTGGATTTATAGTTGAGTGATATTACCATTTCATGACCATCTCCCTCATTTTCCTTGGCCAATCTATTAGTTATCTGTGCTTAAGTCATCTTCCAGTTGTTGCTATTCTGTTCCTAATTCTATACCAGTAAAAGAGACTTGGAATATTTCACAAATGTTTAGAGTTATATAAATGCAAATTACCATTTTCCTTTCTGGAATAGAAAGAGGAAAGAAATCAGAATGCAAATCACGATCCACAGCACTTGTGTAGAGAGACAAAAAAAAACTTACATGTGTATTGTGTGTTTCACCACCTCAGGTAATCTTAAAGGATTTCACAATGAATGATGTACTAGCACCTCTCATCCAACTCAGAGATAGTAAGAACTGCCGATGCTGGAGTCTGAGATACACAGTATGGAGCTGGAGGGACACAGCAGGCCAGGCAGCATCAGAGGAGCAGG